CCATATACTACTACCACTAACACAAAAAATGTACTATATTATACTGTACTATGGTATGACATGATATAATATAACAAAACATAGTATCGTATGATATAACATGATACAACAACATAATGTAGCATAATATAACATAATATAATAAAATATCTAATATACTCTCATATACTCTAATATAATCTAATACAATCTAATATAATCTAATATATAGTCTAATATATAATCTAATATAATCTAATATAACCTACTATAATCTAATATAATCTAATATAATCTAATATAATCCAATATAATCTTATATAGTCTAATATAACCTAGTATGATATAATATAATGTAATATAGTATAATAGAATATAATATAACCTAATACAGTGAGCTATGATATAATATAGCACGGTGCAGTATAATATGATATAACATGATGCGTTGTTAGGTTATAGTATATTATACTATAGTATATTACACAACATAATACACTACACAATACAACATAACATAGCATAGCAAAACATAGCACAACATGACTTAATATAATATGACCAGGTCTGATACCATACCATACCGTACAATAAAATACAATACCATACCATACAACACGATACGATGCAATTCAATGCAACACAACACAAAACAGTACAGTACAATACAATAAAAGACAGTACACTACAAGTCAATAGGCTACATTATGGTGTAATATTATATAATCAACCACAATATATATATATATGTATATATATATATATTATATATATATATAATACCAATCCAGAAACAAGTATAACCTATTGGCGCCGAATGTAAGAAAGAAGCAGCGGAGGCCGGATCCTCGATGCCTTTGTGCTTCTGGGCGAGGCCCAGCAGCAGCTCATCCTGGGTGTCTGCAGCAGGGTGCACCCCTCACCCCATTATATAGGGCGGTTTAGGGTTTAGGGTTTAGGGGCCTTGATATGTAGAATAGGGCTGAGCCCCCAAAGTGCCAAAAAGCTGGGCCCAAGGCGAAACGGCCATCCATGGCGCTCACAGAAAAGGAGGACCACTCTATGGGTTTCGAAAGGAAGGAAGAGCTATTGTCTCCACCTCCACATCCTTTACAGTTGCGATTCCATGAAGCCTGTTTTTGGCCGGATGGTTTCCAAGAGGGAGCAGCATGAGAGAGAAAGTTCAGTTGCCTACCATGATGATGCCATCTCGGCAATTACTTTGCCAGTCTGAACCCTATGGGTTACCTTAAATCAAAGCCTTAAGCGAAGTCTGAACCCTAAGTCCTACTTTCTCTTCCTATCCTAACCATGGGATCATGTCTCGTCCGCACCTGATCTGATGAGAGGCCAGGCTGTGGACGTTGGCTGCAGCTAAGGGTGCCTTCCCTGAATTAGAGTGCGACTCTCGGGCTTGAAAGGCCCCAGGAATCCAAGGATCTGTGTGTTTTGGACTGCAAGGAAACTTCACAAGGCTCGGCTTCATGGGAGAATCCCCTACACCCTAAACCCTAAATAATAACTCAAACCATAAACCAAACTAGACCCTAAACCCTAAACCCTAAACCCTAAACCCTAAACCCTAAACCAAACTAAACCTTAAACCCTAGGCTAAAACCCTAAACCAAACACCAAGAAGCCGGGTTCACCTCTGCGAGAGTCGCCCAGTGCCCCTCCTGCTCAAGGGCTTGTCTGGGTTCGACTTCAGGTTTTCGCCGGTTTTAGGGTTTAGGGTTTAGGGGTTAGGGGTTAAGGGGTTAGGGTTGAGGGTTTCGGGTTTAGGGAGTAGATTTTTTTTTTCTCTCTCTCTCTCTCTCTCTCTGTCGCCTTCCATTCGCTCGCTCGATCTCTGACTATCCATCTATCCATCTTTTCCGTGTATCTCTCTGTCTATCTGTCTGTCTATATTCTTGTTCTTTTGTGAATACTGCCAGGAAAGCGACAGCGAAGACCACGACAACGAACGATAGGGACATAGGGTAGTGGTAATCCTAGTGCTGAGAGATGTCGTCATAGATCAAAGCTGGATGTAGAAATCACGTCACCATTCAGGGCTTCATGGGGGTGTGTATATGTTTTTGTAGCAAGAGGACTCTAGTATAGTTGCAACTACAGCACCTGGAAGTGCAGGCACGCAGTGACGTGGCCTCTCCAGGCTCGTGTGATTGTCTCTTTTTGTGCGCCGTGAGTCTTGTCGTGAAGTGGGCGATGGTGGTGATGGTGATGATCATCCATAATGACGGTGGTAGTGTTAATGCTGGTGGTGATTGAAGTTCTACATCATGATGATAACGATATTGGCATTGTCAAGAGCAAACGACAATGCTTCGATAGGGGCCATGAGTGGTAGTATGGCCATAGCAGACAGCCGCAAAACATGAAGACTTCAGGAAGCACTCAAATCATCAACACGCGGGTTTAGTTGTGGACTTCGGGCGGGGAGAAGCAGCCGAAGTGGAGGAAATGGTTTGACACCGGATTGGCAGTTCCCGCCTTTGTCATCTAGGAGACCAGAGAGTTTGAGTTTTGGGCAGCTCTTGAATTCCTAGACTAGACTCCTTCACCAGGAGACGCCAGTTCTTCAATCCTAAAAGGCCTGCGCCCTGAACCTTACACCCTGAACCCCAAAGCCTCAGCCCAAGCGTATCCTGAAGCCCTTTCCAGGCGGCGAGCGCTCGCCTGCATGGTGCGAGGCGGTGCGGGGCGCCCTGCATGCCGCCTGCCCTTCCGTCGGTTGCCGGGATGGGGACCCTACATGCTAGAACGACAGACACCGGTACCAAACACCAGGACGAGCTGCTCTGAACAGAAGCCCCAGTGCCTTCATACATCCTCAACTCCGAAATGGGTATGGCTTCAGAGGGTTTACGGTTCGGTGCAGGGTGTGGGAACGAAAGCACAGCTGGGAAGTAGTTGATTTGGGGCTTGCAGGTTAGACTTTATGCATGCAGTCATGGGACAGTCTAGAATCGAAGCGAATCACCTACACAAACAACTACGCCACAGCTCAGAGCACATCGAAATCCTCTAGCATACAAGGAGCCGTCACACGCGGTGCAAGAGTTTAGGATTGAAGTTGAGGGTTCCGACTTCGGCTTTTGGAGGTTGAACTTACAGCCACAGATCAGAGGTGCTTTGTCATCTTTCCCGGCAAGCTGAAACCCCTGAACACAGATATGCAGCATATGCATAATAGCCTCGAGCTCCGGGCATTGCAACCTTCGCCAAATTTCGATTATTCATACCTGCATGCTTTTGCTGACTGTTCGTGCAGATGAGCACTTGTGCAAGTGGCAAAAGCCTGTTGGACGACCGCAGGCCTAAACCCTAAACCCTACAAAACTCAATTTCTCGAGGCCAAGCTTTGTGGCAAATGCCGTGGCTGGGAATCCGGAGCTTCGCGCCGAGGTTGGGACGTTCGGCTTTGTCTCAGCGGCCTAGACGTTTTAGGGGCTTAAGGGTTGAAGGTTCGGGGTTTGAGGATCTTTAGGGTTTAGGGGTTTGCGGTTTAGGGTTGAAGGGTTCGGGGTTGCGGTTTTCAAGGTTAAAAGGTTTGGGGTTGCAGGCTTTCAAGTTCAGGGGTTCGCAAGAACCAGATGCGCGAGCCTCGCGCTGACTCGGACATAATGTACTTTGGTTAAGCATCCCCTTCTCGAGTCAGGCGCTCTCGGCGCTGTATCCTTATGGCCTGGCCGCGCTACTTGCACTTTGCAAGACCCTGAGCTCGAGTATCAGGTGACTGTTCATATGATTCTTATCATGGTTATTCTTTGCATACATGACCTCATGGCTCTGAAGAGACTCAGGCTGGCGACGACCGGATCACGGCTTTCTTCTGTTGCAGAACCTGTTTGCAGCAGGCGACGCAGGCAGGACTTTCGTTCCACACATATATCCACTGCTGCCGCAGCAGTCTGTGTCTCTGCTTCGATTGCGCCGAGGTGCTGTTCGCACTAGATTTTAAGGGCTATGTCCAGTGCTACCTACCCTCTTGGGTTGAGTCTCGGCAATTCGGAGCTTCTCGGGTCGTCGTTGGAGGATGCAAGTCGCTTGCCTCTGTCGAGCGCTTCGTTGAGGAGCCCTGCGTGTGACTTGGTGCGATTGTGGGCTTTGGGGGCTCTCGTGTTGAGGCTTTTAGGGCCCGGCGTGATGGTTTTGCAAGCCCAGAGTGCAGCATTTCGGGCCGGGTGGGGTCCACATTGCTAGGTTTGCGCTTAAGTCGCGATTTGTTAGAAGTCGTTTGAGGAGTGAAGAGATAGTGGCCGGCCGTGACACGAACAACGATCGGGGTCGCAGTGCGAACCATTTATTTGATGGCGACGTCGGTACCAAGACCAATCATAACATTGAAAGGGCAGTCATTAGAAGGCAGCCAGCGTGATCATCACGATAATCACAGTTATTGAATCATGGACTGCCAGTGTGGCTAGAATGCTGATATCCACTTCTGCCATGAATCTCAGTTTGCAAACTTCAGGCAAAAATGATAAATGCGGCGAAAACCGTACGCACTACGACCAAGGCATAGTGCAAGCATCAGTCGCAGCAGTCGCGATTCCTAGACACAGCCGCTAGTGCATTTCGTGATAGTGATGACGGTGATGACGATGATGAAGATGGTAGGCCGTATCTTCCATCTGCTTGCTGCAGTTGTTAGCAATTCACTCTCCAGTGAATCTATTTGACACCGCAAACGCTACCATGGTAAAAAGAGCTGAGGTTGTACGTGGCCTTGAGCCTTCTCCGAGCCGCCCTCGACTTGGCAGATTCCCGGTAGGTTTAGGGTTTAGGGTTTAGTAGTTCCAAAAGGCTGGCAAAAGGAATGGCTGTGTGAAGATTGCATGTTTTCCTGTCTGGAGCCTGTCACGTCTCTGAACTGTGGCACCTGGATGCTGCCGAAAGATGCATGAGCCTGAACTCCATCGCAGATGCAGATTTCACGCAGCCGAAGCACATCGCAAACCATTTTTGAAAGCAACATCTTTCTGTCCTTCATATATATATATATATCAATCAATCAAATGGTGGCTGGAAAATGGCGGTCCTCGTGGCCCTCCTGGGCTCTTGGCCTTGTCAGCCTCGCCGGCCTTGCTGCGCTCGCCTGGCTTGCCAAGCGCCTCCTGGCGCGACGGGGTCCGAGGAGCTTGGGCCGTTCGGCGATCCCCTTCCTTGAGGCCCCGCCTCGCGAAGCTCCTCGCGAAGGCCCACTTCGACAAGAGCCTCGAGAAGCCCAGCCTCGGGAAGTCCCGGATCACGAAGCTCCTGCTCGAGAAGAAGGGCCCGGTGAGTCCCAAGCTTCAGAAGGCCGGGTCCCTCGAGAAGAGGTCCCTCGAAAAGATGAGCGTCCTGCTCCGGTGGAGGAGGGGTCCCAGGCGGAGGCTCTCCCGGCGACCCGCAGTGAAGGGATCGCAGCACCTGGCGCCGTGGATGCCGTTCAGGCTCCCGATGCCAGACCTTTCCAAGCTGCTAGCTCCAGTGCAGGTCCAGCCGAGCAGCTGCCGGAGGCATCAGAGGCGCCAGCAGAGCAACCCAAGGCCACAGCCAAACCGAGCCAAGCGGCTGCCAAGAAGGCGGGCAAAGCTACCGGAATGGCCCGTGGTTTTTTGAACAAGCCAGCGAAGAAGCAAAGCAAGAAGGTAGACTCCGAAGCCACCTCGCCTCCCACGTCTGCCTCTGCTTCGACTGCGCCAGCGCCGGAGACGCAGAAGGAAGCAAATGCCGGCAAGGCCACCACCGCCGCGACCGCTGTTGCCACAGCCACGGCCACCTCTGCAGAGGACTCCACCTCAGCAACTGCAACCCGGCTTTTGGTCTCCAGTTTACTCGGGGAGGCGTCTAGCGACTGTGTCTCGTGCGGAGTTACCAGGAGAAGTCGTGCTAGAAGATGGCAGTGGCATAGGTATCACCTACCATGGAGAACAGCTACCAGTACCGACATGATAGGAAAGCGTTGATGGTGCCGGTAGTATACTGCGATCCTAATTGCGACCGCAAGATCTCTACCAACGGTCTTGCAGGTGCGGTGGTGGTGATGGTGATGGCAATGATGACGATGGCGACAATGTACGCAAAAGCAAAACTAACTAGCTGCACAAAGATATACAAAAACAAGCTCCTCCGCAGAAGGAGCATCAGGGTCGCGAAAGTTTTCACTAGTCGATTTCCCAGCACCACGGACAAGGGCTTTGTTGCTGAGTGTCGCAGCCGGGGTCGTTTTCTACGCGATGATTCGACAGAAGTTTCGCGTCTTCCGTGCAGTCTGCAAGCATCATCCTTCCATAGACCCTGAAGCCCTAAGCGATTACAGCATTTCATGACTTACGTGTGATCTCAGCGTACCGCCAAGGTGAAGGAGATAGCTCGAGCACAGGAGGCCCTCGGAAGCGTTTTGATCCAAGAAGCACTCCTGTCTCTCCTGAGCCTTAGGGCATGCGTGGGGCTGCATGTGGGTTTTAGGTTTAAAGGGTAGGTAGGGATGACTACAACTCCAGTGCCATAGTCTCCGCATCCCTTACAGGCTGGAGTCGCCGCGTTCCACAACTGCTCCTTTCGCGAAGCGAAGGCCTCGTTTGAGCGAATGCGCGACACAGCACGAGCTGCCGGACTTGGCAGAGAAGAAGGCCAAGCAAGCCGGCTGCTTGCGAATGCTTTGGATAAGTTGGACGCTCCTGAAGCCGACGCTTGATTCAGGCATTTTAGACTTGCTGGCACTTTTCTTTTCGCACATCAGCCAGACGCATCATCATCACGATCACCATCATCTTCATCATCGTCATCATCATCATCATCATCACCACTGTCGTCACCGTCACCACCACCACCACCACCACCACCGTAAGTCATGGTAACAGCCTGCATCACGTTTGCAGTCGGCTCTGCGATGTTGAGGAAATTGACGCGGCGTATCAGCAGGCCATGCGGAAGGCACACCAACACGATGATATGGAGCTGTGCTCTGGCATCAAAAGGTGCAGTCGTAGTAGTCGTCGTCGTTTAGTCGTCGTCGTCGTCGTCGTCGTAGTAGTAGTAGTAGTAGTAGCAGCAGCAGTAGCAGTAGCAGTAGCAGTAGCAGTAGCAGTAGCAGTAGCAGTAGCAGTAGTAGCAGGAGTAGTGGTAG